CTCTTTCTCTCTTTCTCTCTTTCTCTCTTTCTCTCTTTCTCTCTTTCTCTCTTTCTCTCTTTCTCTCTCTCTCTCTCTCTCTTTCTCTCTCTCTTTCTCTTTCTCTTTCTCTTTCTTTCTTTCTTTCTCTTTCATTCACTCACTCACTCACTCACTCACTCACTCTCATGATCATGTTCTTCAGAATTCTATCTAATGTGCTAAAGGTTCAGTGATTAGCCATAATGTCTTGATTTAAGCAGGTAACCTTTTAGCAGGTGGCAGCATCTGGACAGTCTTGGTTAGTTTAGAAAACTAAGCAGGGCTGGTCCTGGTTAGTACTTGGATGGGAGACCACCTTAGAAGACCAGTGTTTAAGCTAAATTGGGAAGTTTTTTAAAAATCCCAGAATAAAATAATGGCAAACTGCACGTATATTGTTGTCAAGAAAATTGCACAGATGTGTCCATGTAAGCCACCAGGAGTCAATCTAACTTGAAGGCAACTTTACTGAGGCTGGTAACAAATATTAGCCAAAGTGATTATAGCATAGTGGCATGATCTTTTAAATTATTTTGAAAAGTTGTTCCCAAATTCTACATTTTTCACCAAAATATAGGATTGGGATTCAGTGGTAAAGTGCTCTTACAGCATTTTCCAGACCATTCCTTTGATAACTATGTAGAACCCAACACACTATGAGCAATTCCAGTGTAACAACCATTCAGCATCAAACAGCGTAACAAATGTAGTCAGTGGTGGTTATTGAGTAAGTGCTTAGCAGGAGAGTTGAGCTGATCCCTTAACATTTTTTGGCACTTCTGCTCTAGATATTATAGTGTCACCCAGCTATCATTGTGGAAATAAAAAGCCTATCTTCATTAATGCTATGTCAGCACAGCAATAGCTGGTTGATGTTAGAAATGGCTAGTGCTGAAATATACAATGCCAGATGTTGTTTGTGGGACTATTCATTTATATTATTATCCATACACTTAAGTCCTGAGGGGTAGAAATATAATCTGGGAAGAAGCATCCATTGACTCTTTTAAACACACAACACTTTTCCAATGTATATTCTTATTTTTTCCCCACTGTAATGTATATGGGGGAACTACCAATTTTAATAATATCAAGACTACTCCATGCTTGAAGTCTGAAACCTGAAACTGTTAAGTGAGACTGCCATCTAGTGTATTGTTGTTCATTGCAAATATACATATTCCTCTGAGATTTTCTAGGAAAACCAATTTGTCACTAGGTAGCTCAATAAATACCCAGTTCTTTCTAATCAAACTATCTGAGAATCATGCGTAGTATAAGAAATACCTTATGTCTACCATGAATTGATATGGGATAGCAAATGCACCCTCTTGGGGAAGATAATGTGAGCCTTAGTTTCTATGTGCACTTCCTCAAATCTTTGTTTCTAATTTTATTCCACCTTGTTTCCAACAAGTGTCCTTTAAAGACACTGATTTTATTCTTAGCTGAATTTCATTCCTGACAAACAAAGGCCATTCTGGGATTCACTCTTCCATAACATCAGTTCATTAAAGTACCAGCTTCCTTGGACAATTTGCTACATCTACTCTATTATTTTCACTCAAGTCTTAAGGCAGGCTTCCATAACCCAGTGCATTGCAGATGTATTAGTCTTCAACTCCTATGATTCCCCCAAGACAATTTGCTGCCTTAAATCTTCAGTTACTGTCTTCCACTCAGACTGTTTTCAATTCCAGCACAGCTACTTTGGTAACATTGTGTTTTCCCCCTTTTCCTTTTCCAGCCTAGGTCTGGTCTTGCCAAATTACAGCAGGTCTTACATCCAAGCTAATCTAAGTGACCAGATTCTCCAGGTGAAGTGTAAGTACACGTTTTTCTGTTCCTCTTGTCCTTTCACATGCCCTTTGACCCTAAACCCACCAGCTAGCCTAAGGATGATTTACAAGAGAAAACAAAATGCCTAGACATTAACGTTTAAAAAGTTTAGCAAATAAAAAAATGCCCTACCCATGGAAGAAAAGGAAGTTTCATTTTATTCATGAAAGAATAATGCAGGCTTCTCAGGGATGAAGAGATTTACCAGAAACCTTGCGCTGAACTTTTAAAAAACATCCAGGGGAGATGAGGTTGAGTTGTTGCTTTATATGCTTTTTATGTGGTAGATTATAACTCTATAGCAGCTGCTTAATTTGAAAACTGGGAAATTTTGCATGTTTCTTTCTGTTTTGTTTTATATTTGTTTTAAGCCATTCTTATTTTTATTTAAAGTTTGAATTTGTTTGCTTGTTTCCTCACTAATTTACAGTTAATCTGTGTACTCGTGTGTTTGCTTCCCTTTGTGTGTGATCCTGGGCTCTGCTCTCTCATCAAAGGGTGTGAGGAGTTTCCAAGGGAGTTTTTAACATCCCGCTCTGAGTGATTCTGCCTTTTTCTATCTATGTCTGTCCCTCTGTCTCTGTAATCCCTCTCCTTTCTCATCTCTCTCTCTCCTTTCTCTCACCTTTTGTATTCCATACCCATGCTATGTTACTTCTAGCTACCAAAAAAAATCGCATTCAGGGAAGTTTCTCAACTTTAAAGTTAATTTACTCATCGGAATGTATGCTGAAGTATAACATGATGAGGATTGGCTTATGTGAATAGGTTCCAGATTATGTAGGATCTCCTGCCAAGACTTATAGAACCATCAGTCACAGAGTGGTCTTATCCCCCAAATGGGGAACAAATCATTCCAAGTGTTCTGGACATGGTGCAATATTAATCAGGCCCACCACAAGTGTTTCTAGAAGCAGTTGAAGGATGGGTGGTTGTGCATATCTCTAACCCAGACCTTGCCCCAACTTGCTGACTTTTAGTTAAATTGGTTTTAACCCCACTACACAAAGACATGACAGTTGCAGTCCTATTCCAATTTACCTGGGAATAGAGAAAATCCTTTCAATAAGAATTTCTTTAGAAAAAGCTGCTTTGACACAAAGAAGAAATATTGTGAGTCATCTTTCTCCTGCTATTTAAGCGATTGCTTCTCTCTGGAGAAACGAATTAAATAAAGATCATCCAGTTTTAAGCTTTAAAGTTAAAGACTGGGGTCTAAGCTAATTCCAGTGTTTTATAGGAGCATATGCTGCAGTCTTCCCAAATGTTTGTTTTGAAAAAAATTGCCACCCCATACATTACGGCAGATGAAAAGTTATGTGATGAAAAAGAAGAATTATAGCAAAGCCTTTCCCCTAGCATGGAAACTTGTACAGATGCGTTTTTTACATGGGAAGTGTTTTCAGATAGGCAACTCTCTTGTACATCTTTGAGTAGTGATATAAGTTCTTGAAAGGATTATAGCAGCAAATGTAAATAAGGATCAGATGAGGCCTCATGTATGTCTCAGGCCAAGAGATGACATTTTCCATACAGCACCCTCCGAGAGCCAGCATCTGTCCTTAACTCCTAGAACAGAGTCTGTCTGTGCTCCTAAAGGATCCTGCTCTGGTGGCCATCTCTGACTTGACATGCTCTCTCTCAGATGAAGCCACACAGTACAGTTGTGATCACCACTTGGGCACTTACTTTTAAACTGGCATCCTAAGTGGCACCATAGCAACCCCTGGACTTCAGTTACTGAAACCAACAAATGAGTGGTTCAAATTCAGTCACGAAACTAGAGAAAGAGCTCTCTGATTACCCTCACCAGACCAGGATGGCAGGATTTATACTTCCCAGGTTCCTTTTCTAATTCAAAACCAAGTGGCATAATCCAGCCTGAAATAATACAACCTGGATTTGATCCTCAGTCTCCCTGCTTCTAACAGTAGCTACCTTATTCAAGATCTATCTAACTTAATATGTATAGTGACTGGCAAATGCTCTGCCAAATTTCAGGCAGGAGTCATTTCCATTCCTGCCTGGGGATTGTAGCTGGTATCTTTTGCATATTAAGTATGTGCTTTCTGCTATAAACCTGCAAGCTTTCTCCTAAATCTTATGTTCAATTTAATGCACATATATTTATCTTCTACCATTGCTGTCACCACTGGGACTACGATCTTTCATCAGGAAGTTACATGTGTCTTTTTGGCAGGTTTTTCTTTTTTAAAATTGGTTGTGTTTCATAAAATATGTGATTTCCCCTATGCGCTATAATGTCAGGCATGATAAAGATGGATCTCTAGCTTCCTTTGCAAAAGAAAATGGGGATTTCTTTAAAAAAAGAAAGTTTTTCTGCCACATAGGGCTGATTCTAAGCTCCTGTCCCATCTTAGCCTTTCACTGAGGGTAGCCGTATCTCACCCATTTGTCAGATGAGCTCAGGCTTGGTGCAGGGCCCTGAACTTCTCTCCCTTCGTTTCCTCTCCTTCCGTCTCGATCTCTGTGTGTGTCTTTTGTTAATCTTGAATTTTGCATGGTCTGCTAACTCAGTAAGAACATTTCTAAATCAAGACTGTTGCAAACTGTTTGCTACTGAATTCCATTTTTATGTTGGTTATATAATATATATTTATAGATCAAGTTATATCTATACATTTTTATTATTTTATTACTGTGGCCTTTTGATTGGTACTTTTATTACTACTATTATTATTATTATTTTGGCTTATTTCTTTTTCATGTCGTTTTTTGCAAGAGGTTTCCTTTTGGTATGATTATGATACACAATATTTTTATTCAAACAGCAATTGAATAAAATATTGTTTGTACCCCCTTCCCCCTTTCCACCCAATCCCCTTTTTTGTTTTCTGTTTTTTGTTTGTTTTTTCTTGCTTTCTCTCTCTGATGGATTCACACAGTACCAAGCAAATTGAAGGGCAAGTATTTTCAGTCTTAGACCACTACCCTTCCACCACCCCCTTCTCCTCACCTGTGTCCAGTATCCCCCACCCCTCACTCCAAACCTTCACCACTCCCCCTTACCACCACCACCACCCGGCCTGCTTGCCCATTTCCTTGCCCGTTTGCCACGCCTAACCTTGCGAATCACCACCAAACTCTTCCCCTTTCCTCTCCCCCTCCCCCCTCTCCTTATACTCTTTCACTCTTTATTTGGAAGCAACATGTCTTGTTATGTTCATAATAGCTTCACCACTACTGATCTCCCCACTCCTACCCTGTACATTGCTCAGAGACTCAATCCAGTATCGTTAAAGATGAGCCAATTTCATATGGAACTGTTATGTTTGAATTCAATTAAGGTTTTTGTAGCTAGTTTAATATCCTGCTCTTCTTCCTCCCTGCAAAAATACCTCTTCCACCCTTTCTGCTTTCTTCCTCCCCTGCCTCACACCTTCCCTACAAATTTTCTTTCCCTGTCCTTGTTCCTGTGCTTACCTTCCTCTTCAAGACAACTCAACCTGAATGGGACAGGGCTGTGCAGAGACCTCCAGGCTCAGAAAAGTTTGGAAACAGAGACCAATATCACTTTCTCAAGAAAACATTATGAGAGAGGGGGAGAAGCAGAACATCTCAAGACAAGTCCACATTGCTTGCAGGCTAGAGTTATTGAAGCCAAAGTACCATAATCCCCACAGTGGGTATCATCATTATTAGCAGAAGTCTTCACAAGGGTTTTCTGGCCACTCACTATCTCAAGGTTTCCAGTCAGAGATGGGACACAGCCCAAGGATCGTGTAGTGAACATTCAGTCTACTCACTTCTCACACTCATTTATAACATTCTTGATCCAATGGTTTCAAAACTCAATTAGTGGGGGGGGGAGGGGGAACAAGTCTAAAACTTTCTATCCTCTACACAAAGGTAAATTAATAAGATAGGGTTTTTCTTTATATATTTTATTTGCTTCCTCCCTTTCTTGGGTACAGGAAGTCCTCGACTTACGACCACAATAGGAACCAGAAAATTCATTGTTAAGTGGTAAAGTCATTAAGCAAGGCATCACATGACTATTTTTTGTGGAGGTCGTTAAGCGAATCACTGCGGTTGTTAAGTGAATCACATGGTCATTAAGTAAATCACATGGTTGTTAAGTGAATCATGCAGTTCCCCATTGACTTTGATCGTCAGACGCTGGCTGGGAAAGTCTCAGATGGCGATCATGTGACCCCGGGACGCTGCAACTATCATAAATACATTCCAATTGCCAAGCGCCCAAATTTTGATCGCATGACCATGAGGACACTGCAACGGTCATAAGTGTGAGGACCAGTCGTAAGTTGCTTTTTTCAGTGCCATCATAACTTCAAACGGTCAGTAAACAAATGGCCATAAGTCGAGGACTACCTGTATCAATATTACAACAGCACTTCAGTTTGAATACAGAACAGAGGTTGCAAACAGTACTGTATATACACATATACCTGAGCGTGAATTTAAGAAAAACAAGTATTTTTACACTTTATATAACAAATACTTTAAATAATATACTTTATATATTAAGAGCCTGTGTTATTAAAAGACTATGTTCAGGAATTTCAGGAATACCCATAGCACTAGCTGTGACATGAGGAGAAAGGGGAGTGAATTTTTAAAGCCCATTCAGTAGCAAAAGCAAAAGAATGAGGTGGGGAGCATAGCAGTGTTTAACAATCTACTTCATATGAAAACAATGATTGGAACATTTATCCCGTCAAAGTAAAGAAGCAAAAGGAATCAAATTCTGTATACTCTTGGTTGCTTCCATAATTCAAGATCTCCAGGGTCAGTATCCATATAAAACTGACAGGTATGGCTTGAAATGGCATTTAATTAACACAAAATCCAAGAAAGCCCCAGAGGGAGGCTTCTTATTAGACTGTGATCTGTTCCACACAAAAAGACATGAAGCTGAAATGCCTTGCAATAAATATATGGCCCTCATTTCACTCAAACCTCCCCCAGATACAGGCATACCAACAATTGTGAGTGAAATTCCCTAGGTTCTATGCTTATAGCTTCACAGAATTTCATGAGGTTAAGCAAGTCTTCCCCAAGTCTATATCTATGAAAGTTCAGCCATACTGGCTGGGAATTCTGGAAGTTGTCATCCCCAACAAAGCTGGATGGTGCTCAGTTTGGGAAGCCCAGCTTAAGCACTTGGCTGAGGGGATGGTGCAGGTAGATAGGAAAAGATACAGAGTGTATAAAGTCACTGAGAAAGGAAGAGACCCTAGTCAAAATACACAGCTGCAACACTGTGACATTATCAGTGACTGGATCTCAAGCACAGGAGTCCTCAGCCCTGTTCTATCAGCACTGAGCTGCCTGCTCCTGACCCTGTATTGGCAATGCTGATGAAATAATTACTTAGTGTTTTGTATTCCTTTCCTCTTCCTCCTTTCATTGGCTTGTTTCCAGACCCTGCCTTATAGTCCTGTTCGAAAACAACAGTCCAACCTATGGCTGTGCTGCCCTCATGAAGGGCCACATACGTCTTGCAATGCATTGTGGGAAACATTTGGGGGAAGGAGAGGGGTCTCACAGTCCGTCTGTTTATATTGACACATTCTGAAGCACAATTTGCAGCTAACTGAAAAATACAAGTCTGGTGAGATTGATTGAACCAATGTGAAAAGCAAGTGGGTATTCTTCAGAGGAAAGCCTGCAACAGCTATCCCTCCCCATCTTTCTTTCTTTCTTTCTTTCTTTCTTTCTTTCTTTCTTTCTTTCTTTCTTTCTTTCTTTCTTTCTTTCTTTCTTC